AACATAAGTCACCCACTGAGTCATGATGTTCAGGCAAGGGAAGTTGTTTTTTGAAACCCATGCCCTTACAGCTCCCATTCTTTGCTGGATACCAAGTTTACCTCAATTTAGCATTTGCATAGATTTATAGAATTTGTCAGAAATCATTTGTTGGGATCCAGAATTTTGTTTATTGCTTCTGTGTGCTTACATTTCTCAGCCATTTATGCTGTTATATAAAACTTCAGAAAACTGATTCAAGAGTTTACATTAAAAATATCTGTGTCAGTTTAATCAGTGACTCATAAGAAAGGCTCCCTCCTTCCTTTTAATTGAAAGCCAGGATGTGTTGGATCCCTGCTATAGAATCGAGCTGAGGGAGTTACCTAAAAAATCACTGCCATAGTATGCATTTCAGGATTTCAAAAATGGCTTAAGACCTTGTTCACAGACTGCAGACAGTGCACACATTCATGCAGAAAACAAGTGAGAGCTATCTTACCAAGACATATCTTAATCTGGTCTCAGACTCCTTTAAAATCACACACGTCATAATTAAGAAGTAAAAGAAGATTACGAGGCTTACAATGCAAGTCTTAGTATTGAAAAGCCACTTCTGTATTTTAATTATTATTATTATGCAAAAGGATAAGTATTCTGATATTTGATACAAAGGTGTGGCTATAGAGGTTAGCACTGAAGTTTCTCCATAGGCATGGCTAAAGGCAGGGACATCATTAAGATTTTGAAACAGCATCGCCCCACTCCTTGGAAAATACCTTTGGGATTATTTCAGTAGCACCTTGCTGATGTTGCAACAATGAAATAGTTAGGTCAGAGACATTAACATTCCTTCGGCTATGCTGTTTCTGTTGCATGACTAGGCAACCGAGCCCATTAAACTAATCTGGAGCTGTTTTTTTCCGCAGTTTTGCAGACCATTTGGCTCATCCTTGCAAATCCACACAGCCCTTTTTTCTTTTTCTTTTCCTTTTTTTTTTTTTTTTTTTTTTTTTAGCAGCAAATTCCTGACTGTATGTCACATGTAACATAGAAGCCTAGTTCTAAACAGTGATTTAAATTTTCTTGACTTTTAGCGTCTGGGTGGATGCTGGATTCAACAGGGATTTTAGGGATTTTTTGTGTGCTTTAGGAATGAACTGAAACATCACTTGGCATTTTTATGTGCTGGATTAAATCTCAGTATGAATTTGTTTCAGGTAGAGTAGCACTTGGTCTCCAGCAGCAGGTTTACAGTTAAGTGCAATTGAAATAAAACTGCTTTTATGAGACCAATCCTAATAATTGGTGTTTTGGAATAGTAATGTCATCTGCAGTCTTGACTACCTCCATTAAATAAAGTGTTACAGGCTGTCAGTAGCTACTTAATACCTGGGACAATAATTATATGCAGCTATGATCATGCTTTAAGTGATTCAGTGCTATATTGTAGACTCACACATTTTGAATCTTCCCTCACAGTAATAGAAAATTGTACATGGACATATAAAATCCTTGCTGCTGCCTGATCTGGATGCACATAGACAGAGACAGTTATTGGTAAGACATTAATATGTGATGGATATGCTGATACCTCCACCACCCTGTTCTTTAATACATTAAGGCAGCAGAACTGTGGTATGACACACAGACTCTCTTTCCCTTGATTTAATTTCTCTTGAAACACGGTATATAATTGCACCACATCAATATGTTCTGAATCTTCACTGACATAAAAGCAGTTTTGTATTTTGGGTGAATAGTATACTGTGTGAACGCTACCATTCATGATAATGAGAGATTTTTGCATGATGTCAGAGTCCTGGTTCATCAGAAACCTTCTGACCTGTTTTTGATCACAGTTAAAAACAGTGAAGTACGTTTGAATGAAAGTTTAATGCCATGGTAAGTATCAGTTGGCATGCTTTTTCCTTTGTTACCCCTTCACCAGCAGCTGTGCTGCTTCTCTTCCATCACTCACCATGCAGAAAGCTTCACCCTGACTTTCACAACTTTGTTTGCCACACCAGAAGTTCAACTGTTTTTCTTCCACCCCAGTGTATCTGGAATCTGTCTGAGAATGAATACAGCATTAAGAACCATCCTTCTTGGCACAGTAATTTGTTTTCGTAACATATTTTTAGGCCCAGACTCAGAAGACCTCACCCTGGTGCCTTTCTGGAGTTGTCTGTATTCCTTTTTCACCTCCTCTGTCTTCTCAACTGCTCTCACACAATACAGGGATGGCATAGCAGCAATACCATCTTCTAGCAAGGCATCACATCTCCAGCAAGCTGCTTGTCCTGGCAGGTGAAGAATTACTAGACTTTAAAACTGGAATATTTTACTTAATAACTTATTGTATGTTTTTCTATATTTCAGAGGCCTTACGAAGCTGAGGTCTTTCAGCTGCTAGAGCCAGAGGTTAACATGCTGTATGTGGCACTGGAAGTGTGGATTGAAGTTATTTTCAGACATGACAACACTAGTTTCTAATTCAGGCTTTTCTGGAGAATGTGACCACAAGACTCGCTAAAATAAAGAGACAAATGTGCAAAGTGGGAAATCAATCCAGTGACTGCCTAAACCTGAGATACAGCATGCAATTAAATTACATTTTTCTGTGTGGCTGCTAGGCAATAACTTTCTGAAGTGTTATCCAACTGACACTGTATTTCCATATCCGTTTTTTGACATTAGTAAAAAGAATCTTAGTTAAACATAGTGAAACTCAGCAAAAATATTAAGTGTAAAATGGGCACGGATATCCAGCAACTCACAGAGATATTAACTTCTTTTTTGCTAGAAATCAAAGAATATGTTAACAGTCTTTAACAGAACAACATAGGAATTGGAATAACAAAACTATCATACGTAGAAAAATTACTTATTTCTCTTTTTTGGTTGCATTATTCTAAAGGGAATTTTCAACTTCTCTGTGCCTCATGTAAGTGATGGGGTGCTATGTCAGGTACACCCATAATCCATCATGGTGATTCCTGGGTTTATTCACATTTCAATCTTAGATCTGTATTTAACCTGCGTGACTATGGAAACTCGGGAGAAAATGCTTGCTGAAGAATAGGAAGAGGCCTCATATGTGTATAGAAGAAGCAAGACATCAGTATGCATTGTGCATATAAATTTTGTGTGCTTATTCATACTCTGACTCATACCTCTGTCAAGATGTGCCCTTCATGTCCAGCTGCAGCGCACATTGTTGGGTATGAGAGAAGAAATCTGACCCAAAAAATATTTGGAGGATATCCTACAAAGAGATAGAAATTAGTTGTCATGTAACAGTGAGCACAGAATTCAAAGAAGAAATCCATCTCCTGGCCACCCTTGCTCCCACTCCTCCAAGAAAGGAGAATTTTCTTTACAACATTTCAGAGAAAAAGGCAAGATCTTAAAGTTATTTAACTCCTATTTAGCAAGTATGAATAGCACATGTCTTCTGTGGCCTAGCACCCAGGTGGACTCAAGATTATTTATAATCCCAGCTCAGTTTTGTATTTGTCTCTTTTCTTTGGCAAGCTCATTTTTGCATGGCTATGCTAGGCTGAGAGTGGCTGCCCTTAATAGACTCACAAACTGACAGGCAGCTCATAGTTCATGTCCTGGGAATGAAGGGACTGAAAACAACAAAACACATTTTTAAAATAGAGCAGTTACTCTAAAGCTTTACTGAATGTTATGTGAACAAATCCTGATCAGAGTAATTGAGAGCTGAGGACATGGCCTTCTTTTGTGCCCTTGAAATTCTCTCCCCAATTGCATTAAAGACATTCCCCCATAACCAGTCACAGAAAACCATGAGAATAACATACATATCATTCAATAAAACTGAATTATGGAAATAACAGAGTTGCAGTCCTAGAAGAGCAGTATTATCATTCATTTACTTAGAAAGTCTTTCAAAATATTTTAAAATGTTTTCACAAGGCTTTTCCTTTCCTTTTTTATCCATCAAAAATTCATTATTTTCTTTTATAAAACCTGGTAAGAAATCCTTTTGCTTTCTAGACTAATTTTATCTCTCCTATGACACCATCACATCAAAGATGTTATGAAGAAATACTATGTTTGGCCCAAAATATTTTGGTTCTCCAAGTAGTAATCTCGAATGTTTGTGTCAGCTCATTGTTTCTGACAACTCACTCATAAGCATAACCCCTCGCATTTTTTTAATGTTAAGGGTAGACTATAGGCGAATTAGCGAACAATTATCTTTTTTCTGGAGACTGTTTTTACAGAATTTAGAGCAGCATGCTGTAAATATGACTCTTGGAAGTACAATAACTTTAGAAAAATGCAATTTCTTTTAAACTGCTTAATTTTAATTTAGCTCTCAGATTCAAAAGTCAAGGGAGAAAAACTGATAGACTGTGCCTAAAATATTAATGCAGATACTTGGAGTATGGTTGTAAAGCAGGCCCTTGAACACATGTCATGATGTAAGCGTTTAATCACCCATGTGTGCGTGATGATATCTGATTTGCATAGCTGGCTGGGAAGATGTGGGAGTGTAGTTTTCATGGGACTCAAAGTTTCAGGTTACACTCTTTATATCAGTAGGTGTCTGTGCCAGTACAGAATTGCCCTACTCCATTTTGTCTTATAATTGTGATTGCAAACCAATTATTAAAAGTTAAACCTCTACAACACTTTGTTGAAGTACCATAGTAGCGTTGTTTGTTGTTTGGGTTTGGTTTTTGTTTGGTTTTTTTTTTTTTTTTTTTTTTTTTTTTTTTTGCTTTTTGTGCATTTGTGCTTCATCAGAAGAGAAGTGATACTGTGAGCAAAGCATGAAATAGCACAGAGAATTATTCTGGGAGATTAACCTCTAGAAAGTGAAGCCTATATTTACTAAAGTTATGTGGCAATTATCAGAATTCTATAGATACAAATGTAATATTTTAGATAGGAGTAACCAATAGCCTGTGATTCACTAGCCTGTGCAACAGACTTACTTCACACTGATGAAACACTCTGTATGAAACTTTATTTTCAGATGCAGTATTAAGTAGCTCTGCGCCATGAGCCTCAGATACTGGATTTTACTTCCAAAGCTGTATTGCATGTCTCCCCAAGTCTGGGGCAACTGGTCCTGTCAATGAAGAGAGGTAACTGCAGCAGCACCATCAGTCCTCCCCTAGCCAACACAACAGCTGGAGCAGCCAAAAAAGTATTTATCATTTTCAAAGATAACTAGTGACATTTACACATTTGAATAATAGCGAAGGAGGCACAGCAGCTGCAAATCTTTTAAACATTAATGGGTCTTTGCTTCATAAGGTAACAATGAAAACAGGTTTTCTTAAAATACAATTTGAGTTTGGTTCATTTTTTTTTAAAGATGTTGGTTAGAACAATTCAGGTGCTTAACTGAAACCACAACACTATCTATGAACTCATAGAATCACAGAATTATAAAATGGCCTGGGTTGAAAAGGACCCCAATGATCATCTAGTTTCAACTCCCTGCTATGTGCAGAGCCACTAACAACCAAACTAGGTTGCCCAGAGCCATATCCAACAAGTCCTTGAATGCCTCCAGGGATGGGGCATCCACAACCCCTTTGGGTAACCTGTTCCAGTGCGTCACCACCCTCTGTGTGAAAAACTTCCTCCTAATAGCTAATCTAAGCCTCCCTTGTCTTAGTTTAAAACCATTCCCCCGTCCTATCACTGTCCACCTTCATAAACTATTTTTCTGTCGTGGTCGTGGAAGGCCACAAGGAGGTCTCTCTGGAGTCCTCTCTTCTTCAAGCTAAACAAGCCCAGTTTCCTCAACCTTTTCTCATAGGATAGGTGCTCCAGCCCTCTGATCATCTTAGTTGCACTCCTCTGAAGCTGTTCCAAGACCTCTGGGGCCTCACAAGAGCCAAGTAGAGAGGGACGATCACCTCCCTCTCCCTACTGGTCACCCCTTTTTTAATGCAGCCCAGAACACAGTTGGCCTTCCAGGCTGCAAGCACACACTGCTGGCTCATGTCCAGATGCTCATCCACCAGGACCCCCAAGTCCTTCTCCATAAGGCTGCTCTCAAGGAGTTCTCCCAATTTGTATAAATACCTGGGATTGCACCCAACCAAGTGCAGCACCTTGCACTTGTCCTTGTTGAACCTCATTAGGTTTTCATGGGCCCACTTCTCCATCCTGTTCAGGTCCCTCTGGACGGCCTCCCTTCCCTCCAGTGTATTGACTAAACTGCTCAGCTTGGTGTCATCCACAAACTTGCTGAGGGTGCACTCGATGCCATTGTCTGTGTTGCTGATGATGCCAAAGAGCACCAGTCCCAAGATGGAACCCTGAGTTCATTCCTCAAATCCACACCTCCCCAGTTTAGAGAAAAGGATGTGGTGAGGGACCATGTCAAAGGCTTTGCAGAAGTCCAGAAAGATGACATCCCTTGCCTTTCCCTCATCTACCAGTGCTGTCACTCCATCATAGAAGGCCACGAGATGAAAAACAGCACTACCCCAAAACGGCCATCAGAAGGTAAAATTCATAGTGACCCAGGAAAATAGATTCAGCTCACAGAACGTGGTCTCAGAACACTGGATGGTGAGACTATTGACATTGGCCAGCTGCCAGATGCTAACCCATCTGCTTTCTCACTGCTCCTCTTTAACAGGATAGAGGAAGAAAATAAGCTCATGGTTTGATAGAAACAAGGAGATAATAATACTAGTAACCATGAGCAGAACAGACTTAGGGTAAAAAAGTCAACTTTCCGTTTCTTTCAGGCTATTCGGATGCTACACTCAGCATAGATTTCCTGGAACAGAAATCAACCTTTTCCTGAAATGCTTTCTTATTATCCCAGCTCTCCTCAGGTAAGCTAAAGTTGGACAAAAGCTTGATTGTAGCCAAAATGACAGCAGAGAACAAGCCTGAGAGTCTGACATATTGCCAGCCAGTGCCAGCCTGGCATCTTCCTGGCATACAAGATCACCAGTTAGCTTGACTTAGCTCCAAACCTGGCTTGTCAGTGCTTCTCAGTGCTGTTCACAGTTCTAAACTGCTCTGGATGCTCAAGCGCAAGCATACACCACTTTGATGCAGTGTCACTGAGACAGAGGCTCTATGCAGAGCCTCTAAAGGATTTTCCTAAACATCTCTGAGAAGGGCTTTTGCTGCTCTTGCAACTGCTCCAAGGCTGTCACACACACAAGTACAGAAATTAATCTGGGACCAGAGGCTGGAACCCTGAGTCCTCCTGCAGCCAGATACTCTAATCATGCATTTCTTCTCATTTTATAATCTATTGATATATTTGAACCATGAATATAAATTCAACAAAATTACTGATGGGAAAAGGACAAAGGGATTGTTCCCTTCCAATATTTTGATGGAAAAATGAAAGAGATAGTCAAGATCAGAACCCACAATACTGTCTTTTATGAGTGTGACTCCTTTCTGTCCATGAATTTGTTAAATAGTACCTATTTGATGTAGCAACTATAATCTCTCTTTAGCAGGCAAACCATGACTGCTTAGAAGTGAGGGAGATTTAGATTTATGGAGGCATGTTTTCAGTCCCTTTTATACCATCCAGCCATTTATTTCCACATGATTTTCCTGGTTATTCCTAAGTGTTCTTTTTTCACATTTGGATTCCACAGTCTGGTTTCTCTACATGAAGATTCTTATTCATTATGTCAAACTAAAAATCGATCTATTTCCTTGCTAGGTCTGTGCTGAAATGGAATTGCTTAGCAAATTAAAATATATTTTCTAAGCAATTTACCATTTTTTTTTTCTTTTAGTTTTTTACTGACATATCCTTCTTCCCTAAAGCTGAAACTATACCTTTCACTAAAGATGTCCACTTGAAGAGACTTTTTGTTTCCTATTCTTACTTTGTATTATCAACCTATCAAATGTAAGTTCTTCTACATGTATATCAAAAAGCATTGTAAATACTGAGAATACAAAAGCACTTCTCAAAAAAGTCCTTCTTCTATAAGATTTATTTAAAACATTTGGCAATCTATAAAGTAATATATTCCATGTGAAGGGTGGTTAGTTGCTGTTACAGAGCTCAGTATACTGCTCCCTAAACATTTTATCCCCCTGCTGCAGGATAATTCAAACCCAAGCACTTTCCCATTCATTTCTCATGCAGTAGCTTTTCCTGGGGATATGTGACCTTGATGTGTTGCTAACACCCTGGGATTTATTCAGCAGCTTCCTTTGATGAGGTAGACTACTTCATTAAGTCAATCCCCATGCAATTGCATGAAGCCATGGCTGTGAGATATGTTTTAAGCTAACAGTTTATCTCCTAGAATGAGAGTACTTTGTGTTATGTGTCATGTTATACACTCTTGGTCTTTACATACATCATATTTTTTCACTATTTTATCCGGATAGTGCTCCCATGATTGTCTGTTTTAGAATGCAGTTACTTGGTCATGCAAGCATCTTGGACACTTGGGGTATTTCTGAACCAAAGGGAAAGAAAAATCACAACTTGAGCTTCAGAAAGGGAATATACATTATTATACATGTATGAGAGAACCAAGGGTGAAGTTGGGGACAGAATTTCTTTCTCTCCAACTGTTGTTTTTCTGATAAACTAATGCCTCCTTAAGTGAGCATGAGCTTTCTTAAAGCTAGAACTTAGGTGCTAGCAGGTCTTATCCTTGTTTGAGTAGTTAAGACTACGAAGTTGAGTAGTTAAGAAAAATGAATAATGAATCAGGGCATTCTGCAATTCTGAAATTGATACTGAGGGGCACTGCAAGGAGTAATACAAGGAGTACTGCAGAATATTTGCAGAGGATCCTTCCAGCAACTGTAAGTATTGACATGCATACAATGCCATTCTATTTATCTCTTTTTAAGGCCCTACTCGTGTTTTCTTGATGTTCAAAGTGGCAGACAACTAAGAAAGAACACATAACCTTTGGTAGCACTTAGCATCCAGCAGCAGTAATTCCAGAAAACCTTTCAGGGGTTAATTTCTTTCTGCTGCCTCAATAGCACCCAATGCTGTCTGAATGATAAATGACACAGTGCCATGATACCAAGATGGAGTCTGTCTCCCACTGCTTGGAGTCAATGATCTTTGTTCTTGCTTTGAAATGTGCAGAAATACTCTATCATTTAAAACTGCAACAGTCTGACACATTAAATTTTTGCACTGGAAATAAATACCTAATCTCCAGTTCGTCTCACTTTTACAAAATATTCTTACATATTTCACAGAACATTCTTTCTTAAGTAATTCTGCGAGAATTTGCAAGCAGGTAGAAGTTTCAGTGTCACAGTGAAAATCCAAAGGAGATGATGTTCACTAAGATAAAAATAATCTATCTGCTCACATAACTGCATTAATCATAAAGATATTGTATCAAAACAATGACATTAGTTTATTCTACCTCAATCCTATCTGTATGGGTAGGTTCATTAGCACCTAGACTGAGGAGCAGTAGATGAAGACACAGAAATACGAAGAAGTCCATCTGAGAGTTAAGTTATAGATCTTGCTCTGGAAGATGAAGTCCCATGGAATGACTCCCATATTTTCATATAAGTGAGATATGATGAAAAGTAAGAAATACAAGGACTATTGTAGCATCACCATCATCCTAATTCTTAGAAAAAGAACACTTACACTATGGATAGTTATAATTGCTAAGGTTGGTAAAAAAAATCCCTGATCATTAAGCTTTTCAATTAGGTCATCAGCTAACTCCTTTTCTAACATCAACATTTTTTATTAAAGTCAAGGTGAAAACAGTATTAGATGTATGCACAAATATTATATATAAATATAAGCAACTGTCTTTGTGTTCCAGGAGTTGTGTTTTTATTAACTTTGTTCTGCTGGCTAAACATCCAAACTCATACAATATTCTTTACAGCTTTGTGACAGTAACAGAGAGCAATTAAGCGTGCTTATGTTGTTTGTGCAAAAGTGCATTTCTTTCTCATTCAGTATTCTAGTACATAACAGAATATTGATTTCTCACCTCATGTACAGATGAAGCTTTGTTGTGACTTACTTAAGACATTGAAAGCCCAGTGCACTGTAACCTACACCACCATTAAATTATTAAGCTGCTTCTGGCTCTTTTGTTGCCTATGAGGATAAAGAAAATATAACAGGTTGTTAAGTAGAATTTGGAACTGGCACTACAGTAATGGCTAAATTGGTTATCAATGTAGAACACAATGTCAGTGTTTGGCAAAGGCTCACTTCCAGAGTTCTGTATGCAAATTTCCATAATGAATTACAACAGTGTCCTGAATTAGCCCATACATTCTTCAAAAAAATCCAAAAGCTTTGTGTAATGGTTTTGGATGAAAGAGCTGAATGGTAATTACACATGGCTGAAGGAGAATTCACCTTATTCATTACATTTGCCATCTTCAAAAGGTGTCCTATGTAAATCTTTTCTTTTTTTGCTTTTTTTTTGCTTAGAAGACAGAACAGTATTCATAGCTATGATCCCTACAGCGTGAGGCTAGCCAATCCCAAGCTAACTGTCACGGGCTGTGGGGTTGCCTACCTCCGAGTATACACTCTCTGTTATATCCATGTGCTCACATTTGCTCTGCTGTTAAGGCAACAAAGTAAGATCATGTAGTGCCATCAGTATTTTGCAAACATGGAATAGAAAAATATTCATGATGTCATAGCAATATTTCATGTTAACACTTTAGCATCTTTCTTACATTATTAAAGCACATTAGGCCAGTAGGTTCTCCTTGTGGTTCAGTACAGTGTGCTGATGTGTCTCAGATGGCAATGGTAGTCCATGAAAGACCTCTTTCACCCCATCCATTCATTGCTCTTATGCAGAAAGTTTCCCTCCATTTTTCCTGGCCTCAAAACACCACTTAAAGTAAATGTCTACCTACTTCTTCAGGGAGCATTTTGTGCAGAACCATGAAAAAGGAATTCTTCACAAGGAGCAGTAGTTCTTGTACAGCTGGGACAGGTAAATGCCCATGAGCAGACCTACCTCCAGGAAATTAGTTTTGCAAGACCAATAATCTGCAGCAGACATCTTCCTCTGCAAGATCAGATATATGAGCTTAGACAATTTTTTCTAGTCCAGAACTTGTGCTAGTTTCCTTAAGGAAATATCTACTGTAGTCCTCAGATATGCTGGTAAATTGAGCTGTGAATTATTAAGTAGTGAAAAGACAGAGATGCAGGAAACATACTGCATGAGAAGATAAGATTTCACAGAGCCTATGAATTTGCATGGCTACCATGCATTTGATGCAGCTACAGAAACCCTTCAGTGATTCAGTACCTACATAATGCTGCCCAATAACCAGATCCATTTTCTTAGGTACTTTCACTGAGGAAAGATTAGTGTATCTGAGATGGGATACAGGCAGCATGAAGGTCTGTATATTCAAGACATTCATTCAAAAAATCTGTTCTCAATTAAATGATAAACCTGGAGGCATCTGTGCTTCATAAAATCTTCAGCTCTCATTTTTAAACTTTCCTAGATACCTGAAGTTCTTTTTTTTTCATGTATGGAAACATCTCATTTCTGGTAGCACTCAGCTGCTCTGTCTGTCTTAGCCCCTGTGCTTAGAAACTCCTTAAATATTTTGTTCCATTGCCTTTCATAAGGATCTAGAAATAGTTCACAGGTCAAGCACATCCATAGGCCTGGATTAAGACCACTAAAAATATGATAATTACAGTGCTTGCAGCAGGATGGGAAAACAACGTCTTTAATCCAGTCCAAGCACCAACCCTGTCCATGTTCTTCAGTCATGCTGTTTTCTCACTGTCTCGCTGTTCTCTTGAATTTTGTATTCCTTGCTGCACAATAGCTCAATTTCAATAGGGAAAATAAAAATAAATAATAATAATAATAATAATATTTAAAAGGAAGTGTGTCCACAAACAGAGTAGGAAAAATAAGATTTTTATTTCAGTTCCATATATTTACATCTGCAATAACTTTACTGCTTGTTATGTCTAAACTAAAACCATGTAGTTCTGAATTCTACAAGGATCAGGATAGTCTGAATATAACAAACTTAGTGAGTACATGAATAGATTAGCCATTGTCAGCGAGACAAATTGCTAAACTAATTACAAGTTCCAGTACTTCTCTAGTTATCTGACACAGTATTCAGCACAATGAAGAAATAAATACTTACATATTTTTCTGTCATTACTGGAAGTTTGTCAATTTGAAGCAATATACTTTTGGGGTAATCCAAATTTTAATGTAGCTTAAAGCTCTTTAACACATTTGTAAAATCTCTTTTCTTCAAAGATTGATGGCAGTCCTGAGAATTTGCAGTAAGAGAAGCTATCACTGACTGCAAGTTGGAAATCACTTCCTAAACAGAAGAAAATACTTTTTACTTTACTTTACTTTACTTTACTAATTTGCTCAGTCTAATAATGAACAACATTAGTAGTGCCTCTGGGGATGCCCTAACATTTAGTTTCCAACTCAGTAACCTATTTTCCCTATTTCCCTATTTTCATTATGGGAACCTTGTTTTCTGGAGAGAGTGAGACCTATACTACACAACACTGGCTAATGTTTGCTCTCATGTGTCTCTGCATTGACATAAAATCTTGTTTCTGTACTGTTCATACTGGAAAAAAGATACACCTTGGAGATAAGCAAATTTAAAGGAAAGGTTGTGTGCTGGCTAAAGCCAGGAAACTGAAGATTAATACTTGTTGGATTTCTTGTTACCTGAAATAAACTCACTATGTGAATCTCCTATCCCCACAGTCAATCTGCAAATTAATTTACATGTGCTTAATTTGTAGCAATATTAACGGCAAAATTAAAGAGACACTGAATGATGATTCAGCATTGTTTTGTCTATTTGGACCCAGTGTAAGTTCCCCCCAAAATCAGAATAATGCCTTTTCTGAAAGCTCAAAATATGGTTTCAAATAGTATTTTCTAGGGAAAATGCAACATTTTATACCTTAAATATACCACCCCCACCATCAAGTGCTAATATTTCCCAAAGGGAAAAGTTCCATATTTGTGTGTGAGGGAGGCTGTTATCAACCATCACAGCAAGCTTTACGGAAGTTGAAGTATGCACTCAGGGTGACATTTTCCAGTGTTCCATGTCCAGCCTCCCACCTAATCACTTCAGCAAGGCTGGATGGATCAAGGAGAAATATTTAAAGGCTGCTACAATGTTTATTTCCTGCAGCGAAGAGCAGATCACTCTTGACGTCCATTTGTTGAAGAAAACGTCCGTAAATTGTGTGTTCTAAAAATCATCCGGGTTAATGATTACAGTATTTTGACTGCTCTGTTCTAACAACAAATGTCTACGATTAAGTTATGAGTTTGGCTCTGGCTGCTTCTTGTTCCACAGCACCAATGGGAGTGTTTGGCTGTAAACCAATGTCTATTTTTTAATTACTCAGAAAGGAAACCTTTTGTTTCATTTTATTTTTGCGCAGCCAATGCTCTGTCCAGGAGGTTCTAAGTCACACATTTTCCTAATGAGACAAGTGGAGCACTGTTGTTTTTCTCACTGTTGAATCAAAACGTGACAAATGCTTGTAAAAGATTTCAAGAAAAAGGCCTGAAACAGGTAGGAGAAAAACAGATAATAAAAATATGTTTTAATTACCTTTGCAAACATTACAATGGCATGTTTCTTGTAATAAGACTGCATTCGGCTTTTCAAAGCTGTCATTCCAGCCTTCTGGAAAGGCACCCATAAGGCACCTTGTCATCCTTTCAATCTCATGTTATCTGAGGAGGGCAGGAAGGGAGCTGGAAGCTACACCAGCCTACTGCAGGTCAGCCCATGCTGAGAGGTGGCTTATAATGTGTCATACTAAAATTTTACAGGAAAATCCAAGCAGGGTCCTTATGGATGTATGTCCCACAGGTGCCATAATAGCTAAGTGATGTTCATGAGTATCTTTCCACCTTGTTGATACCTGTTGCAGTGCTGTTTTAACCAGAATGGTGTGCAACTTCCTCATGTGTTTTTAGAGTAACAGAGAGAAGCCACATTTTGCATGCATACCTTTTTCCTCTATGGTTGCAGCTAATGTTCTGAGATTTTGCAGCTGTTACCACCATGTGTCTGCACAACAGTACCTGCTCTAAAAAATAAAAAATTAAAAAAAAACCTGCCTCTTCTTTAATAAGTTCAGTTCAGAAGACAAATATTATTAAAAATAAAGTTTCATTTTTTTTTCCTTTGGGATAACTCTATTGTGATAGGAGAAGAAAGAGGAAGGCAGTGAGTGAAATTGCTTGTCCTAAGGCATTTCTTGTGAAAAACTAAAGATGGTCCAATGGATTAATATGCAACATCTCAAAAATCATCAAAGAGTCACCATCTCAAGTGCTGCGCACTAGCTGGAAGCTCCCAGCAATATAACTGTGCTGATCCAATCACAGCAGAGCTTTCAGATCTGACTTGTGTTTGCCTGATTTATTTCTACAGCAGGAAGGGGGAGACTACATGAAATTATCTCAGTTGTATCTAGAATAGATTATTTAGATTAGAATGGAGACTTCTCCAAATAAAAAAAATAAAATTATGTTTTAGGAATATGTGTTCATGTGCATTGCTGTGTGTATATCATGTACATCTGCTCCTGATATTCTGGCATCCAGCAAACTGAAAATAAATAAATAAATAGATAGATAGATAGATAAATAAATAAAAACATCAGAGGCTTCCCCTCACCTAAAAGGCCTTGTGACCTCTCAATAAGTCTAAAAACTGAGGAAAATTATTCCCAAAACTCTTACTTAACTGTAGCATGACCTGTGTGTGTCCATGACATAATGTGTAATAATTTAATGATTCCAAACACTCTAATAAAGCCATTTATATTCATGAAATAAAACCACACTGCACATTAAAAGTTATTGTTAGTTTCCTGTTTGTGCTGCTTTTTGGTTGTTGCTATTAATTCCCCTCCCACATATCCTGTCTGTACTTGACCTTTTCTTAATAGTCTTCAAAGAAGGCATAGCTCTTACCAGTGCACTAGCCACTTAGAATGTAATGGCAGAGCATGGAGAGCTGGAAAACAAGGTAAATTAATTCATAGTTTATAAAGTCTTGCAGCCTAGGCAGGAATCTGCACTATACTACACCTCTGTACTGTACATTCCTATTTAGATTTTTACCTGAGATTTATGAACATTAACTGGATGTTTGCAACCTGTTGTCATGATGAGCAACCATATTTTTCAGGCTTCTATCACATCAATTAAATAATCCAAGGAAAAAACATCACTGAAAGTGTCTAGAGAATCACAGTTATGGAGAGATACCAGTATATTACTACATATATAGCATACATGTACTACATATATAAATATATGCATATATTATTATATATATTATACATATATATATATTATATTTATATAACTATATACATATATATCCAGATATATATAACATACATATATCCATATATATATATCACACACAGTGATCTGAAGGATCCATCTCTCCCATTTCCTTCATTCTTTTCTCTACCTGATTCCCAGAAGGGCTGCTTAGGAGAAAAGATGACTACCTAGTAACATGTCATAATTACTTTCTGCACTGTTTACAGAAAATAAGCTGGCTACTATAAACAAATTGAACAAGCACAGCAGAAAGCCTGCTCAAAACACTTAGCTGCAGCATTCAGCTTGATAATTGTTCAGGCCTCGAGGGAAGACAGAGCACAAGGGTCAAACATAAAAACAACATTAGTTAGAAAGTATGTGTGTTAGGGTTGTGGCTGGAAGACATTACTTTTTTTCCTACATCTTAGCAAAGTATAGAAACACAATATACCCTGTGTTGAACTCTCACTTTTTAGATGCAAAGTAGGATGTAAACATGAATTATACTTGGTTAATGCTTATGCTATGCTCTCCAAAGTTTTTTCTTTAGCTGTTATGCAGGGATGCACTATAAATTCAACCAAAGAAAAGATGTGGGCTGGAAAAAAAGAGCTCAGCCTGCTGCCAGATTCATTTGTAACAGTACAATGAGTGTTGTCCTGAAAAGGAGGAAATCACTACTGCACAATCAGAGTTAATTCTTTCATTCAGTGTCTGAACAAGACTTTCTAGCAGGGCTTCTATGTGTGGGGCAACTTGACAAACTTAAGAATGGCTGTATTCAGCCATACTACAGTCCATCCAGCTAAGTACCCTGTCAGTAGTGAATGTTTTGGAATGATTAGAGGAATGGAACCATAAGAGACTGATGCTTCCCAAGATTAGACTCTCAAAAGGAAATTCTTTACAGTCTAGGAGTGCCATTTTGAGCTGGGCTAAGGAGAGCACAAAAAGCTACAAGGACAGGTCCAGAGCACCCTGCTCATGGTGTTTCCACTTGACCAGGAGTTGTTAGACCAGATAACCTCCATGTAGCCCCAAACAATCTGTGATTCTGTTAAAATGCTTAAGATTACTACATGAAGTTAAACACAGAACAGAAGCATTATTGTAAACCTGGCTGAATCCTTCAGAACTGGAGACAATATCTACCAATTTTGGTGAATAAAGAGCACGTGTGTGAGTCTGAGTGGTCTAAGAAAATACTATTGAGTGGAAACTGTTTTGCAGCAATGATTTAGGTTGTGAAGTAATCTGCCAATACAAAAATGGAACTTCAACCTACCTCCATCAGCTGCATCTGAAGAGAACAGAGCACAAATCATGAGTCCTACTTCACAAGTAAGATTTGAAGGGGTTATTGTAGTTTTGACATTGCAATGAAAGAGTCTTCTTTATACAAGAGTGCTGTTAACAGGAAAGAGCGTTAGTGCCAGAGAAAAAAACATGCAAAGCAAAATTAGTTGATCCTTCAGACTCCTCTCCCCTAGAAAACCAAATTAAGGTACTTGTTTTTACTCAAATACATGCTCTATGACAAGTCATTGTTCATGTGACAAAGGGTCTCATTTACACTGTTGTTACTTCAGATCACTGTACTTCCTAAATATGTACTTTCCGAGATAAAATCAAAACAGAGCATAGGATCCCCCAGGTTTCCCTGTTTATTATAAGCTATTTATACATAATCGTATAAATTCACTGAGATGTAGATCACAGTTCTTCCAGCTGACAGTGTTCCTGAAGGAACACTAGAGACTGTGACCACCTCAGCAGCAACACCCACATCATTCCAGAGCATGCTTCCTGTACCCTGAAGTGGTGCATTGGACTTATGTCCCTGATGCTGGGATAAGTATCTTGCGCACAGATCTGCCTTCTGAACCCTTACAACAAGATCTTAATGAGCAAATGCATAAGAATATAAGGACATTCATGGAATCACAAGAACTACAGTTCTTTTGACACCATTTGTAATTCATTTCAATAAAT